ATCCACAATGGCTCAAGATCTCTTTCTTGAGTGGTAACAGCTAATTTAAGCAAGCTAGCTGTATCATGTTTCTTGGGTTTCTTCCTCTCTAACACTCTGGAAGGTGTGTTAAGAGTATGAGTAGTGTAGCTTTTATTAAGTACTAATTACAAAGGATAAAAGATAGTACATTTTTACAGCACCATTTACTGTTATCCTTTACACACATTAAACATGAACACCCTTATTAACCACACCCGCAGTAAAATTGTCCCTGTGCTCTATGTGTGAAAATTGCTTAGTAACGGAATATAGTACCTTTTTTAAAGGTACAAGACACCCTTGAATTGTATTAAATAATTTGAACTTGCATATATTCAAATGTTTCTTTACAGTATAAAGTTTTGACTTGTCTAGTAAATCCCCTTCCCCCACTCTCCTTGATATGCAATAATAGAAACCAAATTACCATCAGATAACTTCAAGAAACAGAAAGAATTTTGAAATAGACTCCTGTGCTCTCAACTATCAAATATCTCATAAAAACGACCTTATCTGAAGAAGCTCGATCGGATTCTGCCTAGAACATTTCTAAAAATCAAGGACATCATACAATGAAAAAATGTATTCTAAAAAGCTTAACAGCTCCTAATAAAATGTGCATACATTGGAGTCCAATAACATTTGCATGAACAACTTAAAAAATGTCTTAGGAACAGTCAGATACGGCCAGACTCAATCACCTACCGCTAACTATAAGAAGCTAAAGATACTTTTGCTATCTCATTGGCTACAAGGAAGTCAAATGTGCGTCATTCGTAAGATAAAATTCATGAGAAAGCTAAAGTCAGTTTTAGATCTGAAACAATTATTGCATAGTTTGAGACAGGGGAAATTACTATGTTTGTTGTCTTTTTCCGTCCCCAATCTACGACAGAATTTCTTACAATAAGTGTTACATCTCCACCAACCAGGAAGTAAAGAGGGGGGTGGGAAATCAAGATCAGCTATGCCTGACTATTTCCTAACCAATCTTTTTGTCAGCCCTCATTCTTATCACCTAATGCAGCTTATTTGATCATGATTCTTTAAAGACAACAAAAGCAGCAGCAAAGAAGGAAGGGAAAAAAGGGTCGCGTTATATCGAGGTAGTGGTATATATATATATAGTCCTTGCAATTGAGATGCCTAATATTCTTTAATGCTTCTTTTAGTAATCTAAATTGCCCATACAGATAAAAATATATGATTTTTAATCTTAAAAATTACATTTTTATTTATATCGGACTTAAATTTAAATTAAATACAGGTGTATTTTTTTAAATAAATCCATTTAAAATTAATTTTGAAAATGATGCACTATGTTAAGGCTTAAACATATTATATTAAAATCATTTAAATTAAATAAAAAAATATTAAGCAGCACACGCTTGCTGCTAAGTTTTAAAGAAACTTAAACCACTGAACTGAAGAACGTCACTGACTAAGCACCTGAAATCAGTTTGTTGAAGTGTTAAACCAGCTTGTGCCAGCAGTCACCTCTTCTCCTTATTTCAGTTCAATGACCAGTTCATTCAACGTTAAGAAAGCAACTGGGAGTTGAAAAAACAGGAAAGTTTGTTTTCCAATCTACAAATAAGTTTAAAAGGATGTAATCTATTAGTTCCACAATCTTGAAAGACATGATGACCAGAAACAATCAATTCAATTTACTAACTACAAATAATACTGCCTTTGTAAAATAAATCATTCAATTTTAAGTGCAAACTTTCTGTTAAACGTTTAAGGTAGTTTTATTTAATAAAAAAATTAAAATACTGTTTGTGCACTTTTAATTGCATTTGAATTTCCATCCAAATAGAGCTTGACACAAATCACAAATAAAAAACTAATTATCTGAATAAATGTAAGTTAAGCAATATAATTTCTTAAATAAATAGATACAGTGCATCCTTGTCATTAGCAAAAAGAAACCCCACATTTAGGGTAAGGGCTATATTTAGTTGCAGACCAATATGTTTCAAAGGTTACCAACTAATGAGAATCAATATTTTCTTAGGAAAGTAACTGAAAAATACACATGCAAAACATGATTACGATCAGTGACGTAAATTGCTTTGATTTAAATCAATCCACCCTGCAAAATCAGGATTACAAACCCTGAAACAACTAACTTCAATCAAATAACTGAATGCAGGCCTCCCAAGGATCAAAGGGTGGCCCAGAATATTACCACAAGAAACTATGTACATTTCATGATAAGGACCAGGTCTACACTGGAGTGCTTTGCTGATATATACTTACCGATATACATATAGCCATACTGCTCCTAGTGTGGAAGCAGCTTATGCTGGCAAAACTGCACTTTTATTCCAGCCCTGTCAAATGAAGTAAGATGTTCCAAAAGAAGTGCAGTTTTGCTGGTATAAGCTGAGTCTACACTAGGGGCTTTTGCTGGCACAGCTACATCAGGCACAAATCATACATCTGATCGATATAGTTATGTCGGCAAATGTTTTTAGTGTAGATCTGGCAAGTCGCAAGACTATCTCTCGGAACACTGCTGAATTCGAATCCATTCAGTGTTTCATAACCCTAATCCTGGAATTTTGTACTCCTAACCGTATTTTTTTTTAACCAAAACAGATATAGATAATATGAACTATGTAAAATTACAGTATTTACATAAAGTCATTTTAAACCCATGAAAGACTTATTAGAATAAGATGGTCCAAAACAACCCTCTGGTGTGGAAAACCACATACAAACCACTCTTCACAATAAAAAGAATGTATACATAAGAAAAAAACATTCTCTCACTAAACCAGTCTCCAAGGCCATATCAATAACCATTTTCCAATTAGGGCAGTTGGGGAGCAGAGCTGTACTCTTTCCAGTCAGATATCAGTTCTCCCTTTTGGATTCTAAACTATTTTCACTTGCTGGTCATTTTCCAAAGCTTGAATCTCACACCTGAGGCTGTAACCCCAAGAATGTGGATATGTTGTAACTCATGTACATTTCAAGATTTTAATGGTCCTCTTAGACGTCAGAACAACAAACATGTTATTTATTCTTGGTTGAAATATATTCATGTCTTTAAAGCAGCCTGAAGGTGCAAAGCCAATGCAAACTTTGCATTAGCCCCTACTCCAGCAGAAAGCAAGGTGTACACATTCCTTTATGTACATCTGGTATTTGGGTCCATCATAGTCGTTTTATAGATACATGTTGCACACAGTCAGTGTCCAGATTTTTCTTTTTTAATCAAGATCAGCTTCGAACTGGGCCATGCAAAACAAAGAATAGTTTAGTGCTACATAACAGCGAGGGCGGTAATAACATGGACCTAATTATCTTAACAAGATCACTACACTGTGACTAAATTATATATTTGTACAACCATTCTATAAATCCTATATGTGGAGGTGGTATCCATGTGATAAACTGGAAAGGCAAATGATAAATTTATAACATGCTTTTGCAATTTGTCAAATGCCTATGAGCTCATCAATTTATCTTTAATTCATCTCCCTCAAGATTTGTTTGAACATATCAAACCCTATCATATCAACAGCTTCAAAAAGCTACAATTTTAAAAATAAAAACAACCTTCTAGAGAAAAGTTTCTTCCAGCTTCCCATCAAAGTTGCTGCTGCCTAAGGCACAGGAGGGACAAAATTCAGTTGTGTACTAGTGACAGCTTTTCTAGACATCAAAATATCACAGCTTTAAAATCTGATTCATATATTAGTGGCTCTGCAATGCTAAAAGCTGGAGCTTTATACTGTGAGAAAAGACTACTTCTGCCTTTCCAGTTATACAGTGCACTAATCATTTGTGGTTTCACCAAATTGTTAATAATACAACAATCCCAATCTCATGTTTATATCACTCCATTATGTATATTCTTCTCTAAACTCTTTAAATGCAGAGGGACTAAATTGTCCTATGAAGCAGCTAATGAGAATGATTGCTACAGTAGTAAGAAAGTAACTGGAGGTGACAGAACCAACAATCCCTTTTATAACCTCACACCAAGGCCCTGCCTAGACCAGGAAAATGAAGTGGGTTTAGAAAACATTTTAATTAATATTCATTTTTAAATTGTTAATTCTCGCCACTTAGCAAGTTCCATAGATGAAGACAGAGATGTTGAAAAATGTGTTTGCTGGTTTTGGTCAACCCTAATCTTCAGATCTTCAGCAGCACATGTGTATGGTCCATCAATCATTGATTTTTAGATGGTTCCTGGGCCTGTGGTTCACTTTAATGAACTTCCATACACATGAAAAATGCCAAATAGACAGCCTTGGAGATTGATATTTACTCACAAATTAAATATTGCAAGTGCAAGCAAAGCGCAAACTTTCCCAAAATGTTCTGCAAGCATTCCTAAACCCCTTTTTTCTGGGTACAAAGGTAGATAAATATCCATTGCACATTCAAACCTTGCCTTCTCTACAAAGATGCCCCACAAGCATGCCAAACGTCAGTGTTTATGATAGAGACATCTATCTACCAGGAATTAGCCTGAGACCACCAACTTATTTCATAAGGATCACCAATCAAAACAGCCAAGAGATAGTCATGGTTGGTCATTTCTGAGTGGGGCTAGCTTTGCATCAGTGACCTAGGAGATGATAAGCTCCATACTCCATTATTAAACTTGTGGATCAGTAACGTTCCAAGAATGATTTTTCTTTTTTTCTACATTCCTCCACTAAACACATTCAGGCACCCTTGTTCATCAGCAAAATTACTTTTTTATAGCTTAATATAGACAAATAATTGCACAGTATTTTATGTTGATAAATAACTTAATTTACAATCAAACTTTGCTGAACTTAATTATCTCAAATGCACAGAAACACTACTCTCCGACCCCATGGATGCATGCAGGACATACACACCTGAAAGTAATAAACATAATACAAAACCATTAAAAATGCGGAAACCTTCTAAAATAGCATGTTTTTATGAGTGAATTTAAAAATATGAAGCCTTGACTTGTAACTCACCCAAGGTGCAGATGGTACAATAAGTGTCAAAACAAGCAAGTCGCTACAGCATTCCTCCAGAGATTGATGACATCTAGTCACATGATTTAGCAATCTAGCATAAACAACAGTTGGTAGTATCTGATGAGCTTTCTCACAGGACTCCTGTCCTGGGGCAAGTATGAAGCTCAGTGTTTGCCTCATGGCAAGCAGGTGTTTGAGCAACTTGCTGAGTTTTCCTTCAAGAGCACTCTGTAAAAACAAAAAGGTTAAGGAAAGAAATGGTAAACATTGTGAAATAAAAGGAAGTTAATTATGCTAGGTGAAAGGCCACAAGTCCTGTGTAAGCACCTGCATGAACCACCACAAATATGCTGACATTTATAAAACAGACTCCTGGGAATTTATTGGAGATGTCAAACTCTAGGCACTCTGCCTTTTCTTTTTCTCCCCTCCAAACCATCTGTGGATAACATGTGTTGAGGGGGTATGATCTGACAAAGCACGAAATACAACAAATTGCCAGACTTTTAGCCTCTTACAACAAATATGAAAACAAAGATCAAAGCCGTCATATAGATTGGGCTGATTGTTTGGTTTTTCTAAAGAACAGCCCAAAGCTAGTATAAAAAAAAAATTCAAACTTCTAAACAATCAGGGAATCAACAAAGCATAAACAAGAGCATGTTTATCTTATACTACCACAGAATCTTCTTATGTCCTTTTCCTGTTTAAACCTTTAGCCAGCTGGACACTGAATTTATTGAACAGCATGTTTTCTTTTACTAACAAGAGATCATTTTAAAGATCGAGAACTTATTCTGAAGCAAACTCCATGAAAGGAACACACACTTAAAAGGATATATACTGAGGTAAATGAGAAAGGAAATGTGCAATCATGTAACATCACCACCAGACACACCAAAACAAGTATAGCATGCTTCCCAAATTTAAAACAGAAACCATTTACATTTACAATAACTCACAATACAAACACACTCTGATTTAAAACTTTTATCTTAAAATACGAGCATTTGCTTATAAATTATATTTCATCTCCTTAATAAAATTGTATTCATATCTGTTTTTCTTGGTTGTAAATACTCATTTGATGTGTCCCATATAATTCAGTATTTTAATCTACTAAAATATTGCTCTTCCATTTCACTAAGAGACAGACAGCAGTCATTACCAACAGAAATTTAGCTTACTTTTGGATTCTTTCTTACAAGCTTTTTTGCTTTGTGGAGAGAGTTGTGCTACTAGATTCACAATCAAAATAAAGACTTATTGTTCAGATTCTACTTTGGTGCAAAATTTTCTAGCATTTTGCTAGAGATTGCTTGGCATTTTCCACACGCCTTATGAGGTCAAACCCGCTTGCCATGAATACTAATGGTTAGCGCTGACTGAAAGGAAAGTTACATCAGGCCCAATGGAAGTTAACTACTTTTCTGAAGAAGCTCCACACTTGGATCCTGCCTATTTGCTCAAGTGATTGCTCAATTCCCAGCGGGGATAGTGAACATTTGATGGTGCTTCATCAGTTAGTCACCTGCCCCAGAGGGAACTCAGTAACAGCCCCATGCCCAATGTAGAAGCAAAGGCCTGTGTAGTCTGTGGCACAGTGAAACTACATTAGGTGTTAAGCCCACCTGTTTTCAGCAGTGCACTAGAGCTACATTATACAGAAAAATGAAGGATCTGGGGCAGTGTTAACTGATTGAAAAATCATTACCAAACTTATGAATGTAGTGATATAATTCTAAATTTCACCACACATGATAAGAGGCTATATTCAGTGCTGTGCCTGCTTTGCACTCCCCTACTGGCACAAAACAGCTCTAAAGCTGGTGTAGCTGATTGTGAGAGTGAGGCTATGTCTATACTACATGCACTACAGCAACCCAGTTTCCACACTGCAGCTACACTACTGTAGCATGGTAGTATAGGCACTTGCTACAGCAGTGGAAAGGGGTTTTCCACCATTCCAAGAGGCAGAAGGTAGGTCAGTGGCAGAACTCTTTTCTCGACCTAGCACTGCTATACCAGGGCTTAGAGTGGCTTAATTTTTCGCACCCATGAATGATGTCACTTGGTCAACTTATCTTTCAGAAATAGACCAGGCCTCTAAGGGTATGTCTACATTGCAATTAGACACCCACAGCTGCCCATGCCAACTGACGCAGGCTAAGGGACTCAGGCCCAAATGTCTTCACCTCAATTAAACAGCCTCGAAGCCCAAGTCCCATGAGCCCAAGTCAGCTGGCACAGGCCAGCCACAGGTTTTTAACTGCAGTGTAGACACATACCCTGAGGATACAGTGACCAGATGTCCTGATTTATATGGATAGTCCTGATATTAGGGGCTTTATCTTACATAGGCGCCTATTAGCCCCCCACCCCCATCCTGATTTTTCTCACTTGCTATCTGCTCACCCTACTTGAGGATCACTCCAGCATAGGGAAACGTTCCAGTGGCATAAAGCCAGCTTAGTGATTCCTGACCAGGGAGAAGGGGGCAAAGGCAGGTCTTCCAATACCCAGCTGAGCCACTGCTGCATATCAGTTCCTTAAGCCTGTTGACAGGTTTCAAAGTAGCAGCCGTGTCAGTCTGTATCCGCAAAAAGAACAGGAGTACTTGTGGCACCTTGTGTGTTTCACTCTATGCATCCGAAGAAGTGGGCTGTAGCCCACGAAAGCTTATGCTGAAATAAATTTGTTAGTCCCTAAGGTGCCACAAGTACTCCTGTTCTTTAAGCCTGTTGGCAGCTGTCACTAGTTAGAACTACTTCAGCTTATACTGGAAGTGCATCACCAGTACAAGATCGGGGTGCACAAAAAGTAGCTCACAGCCATCATTTCTTAGCAACAGCAGGGATTCTTTGCCATTCTATTTACACATATTGGGCTAGATCCTCAACTGGTGTAAATGAGAATTGCTTCATTAAAGTTGCAGATTTACACAAGCTGAAGATCTTATTTACTGAAGACAAAATTTTAAAATGAGCTTTCTGGGGATCCTCTTGGGTAGTTTTCTAACTGGTTTAGATTCTCTAGCCCAATGGATTTATTAGACATCTGATTTTAATTCCTTACTTCCCAACAGGTTTTCGACAGGTTTCCATAGAAATTTTTCCCCCACTCCAGAAGACTCTCCATTCCTATGTACTTTACAGCATAAAATTTCCTTCTTAAAATCACAACAAAATTAAAAAAAAATCTCTTCTGAAACACTGGAATAATGAGAATTGGATCTCATGTGTCTTAGGGTATTTGCTTCATGTCCTCGGGAAAAAGTTATTGAGCTTTACAATTCTGTATGAAACACATGTAACTATTTAACAAATCATCAGAGTTCCACACCAAATAGACCAACTTTGCAGTCTTAATTAAAAGGCCACCGAGGCCGGGAGCAGGGGTGGGGCAGGGAGGAAGAGGAGAGGAAGGAGTGAGGGAAGCCCATGCTCTACTTCTATATGAGAAGAAACAATGTTTCACAGGAACATAAAAATATACTATATCTCCTACCATAAAAATGGAACATCAGAGATTGTGGCCTATTTTCAGCACACATAGACCAGAATAGGTGAAAAATTGAAGCTTCACTGTGTGTAAATTTCCTGCTATAGTGTATATTGATGAGTTTACCATTTATACAGTAAATGTAAATTTTGGCACATTGAAGGATGGCCATTACATTCCTAAGGGCTTGTCTATACTGCCCTGTAATTCAGGCTACAGGGATGTGACTAGCTGTGCACAGTGCTCCAAAGTGCTGTGCTCTAACTCCCCTGAGTGGACTCTGCTGATGCAAACTAGAAGGTTCCCACTTCCTGTTAACACAGTCCTCTTTAAACAGGACTACATTCATCCAAACTAGGAACCTTATCATTTGAGCCCGCAGTGTCCCCATGGGGGAGGTATAGCACAGCACTTTGGTGCACATTCACACACCTCCACCTCACATCATCTGAACTGCGGGGCAACATAGACATAGCCTAAGTCTCATTTGTACCATGTATTTGACAATTCTGCCATACAAGTTAACCAATTGTTAGTTTGTTGCAGCATTTGCTGACCATTTTTGTAAACAGTGGCTTTTTTATTTTAGTTTAAAAAAAATTGTTTTGAAGTCAGTATATTCTGGACAGTTATGAGAACGTCACATTAAAGGATCTCTTTTTAGTATGGTTCATTTTTGCATCTAATACAATATCAGATTTGATAATTGTTTACTCCTGAGTTAGCAGCTCCTTTATACACAAAAGAGCATTAAAGACTATAACTCTAACATTTAAAAGTCTAAGAACAATGTATGCAATTGTTACCCGGGTTTTTTTTTAACCCAAAGCTTTTGGTAACTTTTACACTGTGCAAGGTGGTGTTAGGAAATAAATCAGGGGAGACACGGCCGTTCGACCGATAGATGGCTGGCACAAACAAGACAACACAAGACTGCTTTTACTTAAAGCTAAACTTAAAGCTAAACTTTACTTAGTCTCAAGCACTTACACACGTCCGCAACAGGTTAGTAAAACACCCCCAACTCTTGATAATTACCAAAGCTGAGTGTGGCTTTCGAGTGACAAAGCGGCAGGCTTCCAGTGGCCAAATCTTCCGTCTGCCGGTGGGGACCGCAAAATGTATTCAGAGGGGGAGTCCAAAAAGAGTCCAACTATCTCAAACTTTTCCCCCTTATTTATACATTAGTAATAGAATGACATGTCCCTTAAAGAAAACTTGTTAATTAAGCAGTTTCAATGGTGAAGCAAGAGGTTCCTTCTGGTTACTGATTAACCAGGTGTGGGTTTTTCCAGAGTTTGTAGCCTTGAGAGCCCAATAGACATTCCTGGGGCACATGCTTTCCTAAAATGCATGTATCAGCAACTTTAACACAACTCTTATTAGGAAGGATGTTGGGTCAAGCTGTCCTTTCTGTGGCACCCCAAACCTTCCTCCCCTCCTGCCTTGGTCAAGCTGAGACTGCTGAATAGGCTGCTTTTAACAATAAGCCATAGTGGTTTCAGGCACTTTACTGATTTGCCAAAATCTCCCCGTACACAATGAACAACAAAGATTTTATATTGCTACATAAATGCATCATCCACCCAATGCATTCACTTCTGATTACCAAACCAGCAGGAAAAGGTTAGCTAACTCAAACCTGCTTTGATTAGTGTCACAGAAGAATTTTCAAGAGGCCTTTGAAGTGATATCCGTCAGTGTTAGTTCAGATACTTGTCTGTCTT